ATTCAAATGAAAATTTAAAATATTTACAGCATCCTAATTGAACACATAGAGCAGTGGTTCTCAACCTTCCTAATGCCGCGACCCCTTAATACAGTTTCTCATGTTGTAGTGACATCCGAGCATAAAATTATTTTAATTGCTACTTCATAATTGTAATTTTGCTACTGTTATGAATTGTAATCTAAATATCTGATATGCAGGATGTATTTTCATTCACTGAAACAAATTTGGCACAAATACCCAATACACCCACATTTGAATACTGATGAGGTGAGTGGAGGATTGATTTTGTCATTTGGGAGTTGTAGTTGCTGGGATTTATAGTTAACCTACAATCAAAGAGCATTCTTAACTCCACCAGTGATGGAATTGAACCATACTTGGCACACAGAACTTCCATGACCAACAGAAAGATTTGGTGGGCATTCACCTTGAGTTTTGGAATTGTAGTTCAGCTACATCCAGAGAGCACTGTGGACTCAAACAATGATGGATCTGTGTATTGTCGAAGGCTTTCATGGCCGGGATCACTGGGTTGTTGTAGGTTTTTCCGGGCTATATGGCCATGTTCTGGAGGCAATTTTTCTCCTGACGTTTCGCCTGCATCTATGGCAAGCATCCTCAGAGGTAGTGAGGTCTGTTGGAAGTAGGAAAAATGGATTTATATATCTGTGGAATGACCAGGGTAATGTTTCAGCTGATCACCTTGATTTGCATTCAATGGCCTGGAAGCGCCTGGGGGGAATCTCTTGTTGAGAGTGAATTGATGTGCCTGATTGTTTACTCTGTTGTTTTGCTGTTGTAATTTTTGAGTTTTTTTAATACTGGTAGCCAGATTTTGTTCATTTTCATGGTTTCTTCCTTTCTGTTGAAATTGTCCACATGCTTGTGGATTTCAATGGCTTCTCTGTGCAACACTACCTCTGAGGATGCTTGCCATAGATGCAGGCGAAACGTCAGGAGAAAAAATTGCCTCCAGAACATGGCCATATAGCCCGGAAAAACCTACAACAACCCAATGATGGATCTGGACCAAACTTGACATGAACAACCAATATGCCCAAATGTTTGGGGAAAATAGACCTTGACATTTAGGAGTTTTAGTCACTGGGATTTATAGTTCATCTACAATCAAAGAGCATTCCCAACCCCACCAATGATAGAATTAGGCAAAACTTCCCAAACAGAACTCTCATGCCTAACAGAAAGTACTGTGTGTGACCCTTCTGACACCCCCTTGCGCCCCAACCACCAAGTTGAAAAACACTGACATAGAGGGTAGGCAAATGGTAGAATCCAAAAAGGAGGTAACCAGTTATCGGGTTATCGATTGATCCTAGCCAAGAGAGAGGAAGAGGAAGAGAGGAAGTGTGCACCCAATTATGAGGAAAAATTGCATCTCCTACTCCTTGAATGTAATCTCACCCATCCACCAGAGTATCATGGAGGATGAGTATCCTGGTAGATGGGGACTCACCTAAAAGCCACCAAATTTAGACTCTCTTGTTTCCTTATTGTTGAGGCTGCTTTGTCAAGCCATGGATATGAGAACAGGAACCATGACAGTTTGGTGGACCATCTGCACTTTGCCGTGAAATGGTTGTGGGATGGATACAGGGCATTGTTATTTTAGACAGGCCCTGGACTTTGTGAAACTTGTAAATGAGCCCAAGTTTCACATAGAGTCATCAGCTGGGGACCCTTCCCCCTGCACCAATTGCTGCTGTGGGGCAAAGTGAAGAGAGAGGGGGCCAGGGGACAGTTCCACCTTGTCTCCTGTGCATGGGGGTATTGGGATAATTTATTATTTATTTATTTATTTACTTTGCTTATATACCGCTGTATCTCAAGCCCGAAGGCGACTCACAGCGGTTCACAAACAGTAAAAACAGTAGAAACAACAGTGGTTCCATACAACATATAACAATTGACTTAACACATTATCCATAAATTACCAATAAGCAATTACAATGCACAATTATTACAAAAAACAACCGTACCCAATCTTCTCATCATCCAAGCGTCAGTCCAGGTTCGTCGTCCATTGTTCCATTCCTATGTTCCATTACCAGATTGCACTAAATTACTCAAACGCCTGCACAAACATCCAGGTCTTCACCTTTTTGCGGAATACCATAGAGATGGTGCTAGTCTAATGTCCGTAGGAAGGGCGTTCCACAGCCGAGGAGCCACCACCGAGAAGGCCCTATCTCTCGTCCCCGCCCGCCGAGCTTGAGAGCCGGCGGGATCGAGAGCAGGGCCTCCCCGGAAGATCTCAAAGTCCTGGTGGGTTCATAGGCCGAGAAGCGGTCAGATAGGTATCTTGGGCCGGAACCGTTTAGGGCTTTATAGGCCAGCGCCAGCACCTTGAATTGAGCTTGGTAGCAGATCGGTAGCCAATGGAGCTGGCGCAATAGGGGGGTCGTATGCTCCCTTCGCTCCGCTCCTGTTAGAATCATGGCTGCCGAACGTTGGACTAATTGGAGCTTCTGAGCCGTCTTCAAAGGCAACCCCACGTAGAGAGCGTTGCAGTAGTCTAAACAGGATGTAACCAGAGCGTGGACTAACGTGGCCAAGTCAGACTTCCCAAGGTACGGGCGCAGCTGGCGCACAAGCTTTAGCTGTGCAAATGCTCCCCTGGTCACCGCCGACCAGGTTATTTATACTATAATTTAATGCAATATAATACTAATAATAATATGATATTATAATTATGTATTTATATTACATGTAATATTACAAATAATATTACAATATAATGGTATAGTTCAATATAGTAACATTTAATACTGATATTTTACTATGCTAATAATATATTGTGTATGTGTGTGTGTATATATATATGTGTGTGTATGTGTGTGTGTGTGTGTGTGTGTGTGTGTATATATATATATATATATATATAGTAAGCCGCTCTGAGTCCCCCAAATTGTGGTGCCCAGAATTGGACACAATATTCCAGGTGTGGTCTAACCAAGGCAGAATAGAGTGGTAGCATGACTTCCCTGGATCTAGACACTATACTCCTATTGATGCAGGCCAAAATCCATTGGCTTTTTTTGCCGCCACATCACATTGTTGGCTCATGTTTAACTTGTTGTCCACGAGGACTCCAAGATCTTTTTCACACATACTGCTCTCGAGCCAGGCATCCCCATTCTGTATCTTTGCATCAATGTAGACGCATATAATACAGTTGAACTGGATTAAACAGCATTAGATTGGTCTACACTGACCATATTATTTGGCATATAGATCCAGCCCAAATCACTGTTTTCACAAAAAGCAAGATATAACTCAAGAATAGAATCAAGTCTCTTTGCAGCTGATGAATAAGGTCAGGTGCATTGCTTATTTTTCCAAAAGCCAGGAATCATTCATTATATTATCACACCGGGCTCTAAAAACAAGTCTGGCATTGCAAATCTGTCTTGGATTTCAAACGGCTTTTGCTGGCTTCTGGCTTCTTCAAGGAACAGATTTCAAAATCAATGAGACAACATCCTTTGTGAGTTCTAAAGGTTACTTTACAGTGATTTCTTCGTATTTTTATTTAAATGTATAACTCAGGAGGAGGATGTTAAGCTGTATTTAAGCCAAAGTGGAAGCAAAAGCTTCAAAACCTATGCCCCTGCGGGTGATGAAGTGGAGTCGGATCAGGCAATATAACGTCCCATTGCAGCTCAGTTTTCAGCTCATTAAAACTGGTTGTTTTGGACTTCATCTCTCAGAAGCTCGATACAGCCTATCTTGTGTCAGGAGCTCTAGGAGTCAATATTTAAAACATCTGGAGGACTAAAGTTTGAAAAGCACTAAAGTATCATTCATTGTGACCCTGGTCTATGTGATCATTCACATGTGCAGATAAATCATTCAAATGTGCCCAAAGACTCACTCCATACCATCTTATAACCTGGACTTGGAGTTATCATAAAATACTTTTTTATTCTTTTAGCTTTAGGTTGTGAAAATAGGTTCAGTTTCTGTTGCTTTGAGAAATTATTTTGAAAATGTTTTGGGGGGCATCATGGACTTTTTTTATTTCATTATAACGATCGTCTTACCTTTTTTGTTCAGTTATATTTTTACTCCTTATTGAGCTGATTCTCCCTAGTTGCAGTTGCATGTCTATATCTGTTGTTCTTGATTCTCAAGTCTGGAACTGTTATCTTAGGCTGGATCTACTTCCATATGATGATGTTTGGAACTGCATTATATGATCTGTGTAGAACTGTATAATGCAGTTCTTGGTGGTTAAATTGCATTATACATGTCTGCACTGACCATATAATGCAGTTCCAAGCTGAATTATATGACAATATAGATCCATCCCCAGTTATCTGAGGGATGAAGCCATCATGAAAACTTGGAAAGAAAAATAGTCTGCATATAAATTTTAATTTTGTTGAAGAGCTCTATATTGTTTATATTGTTTCTCAGTGGTGGCCCCCCTCCTCTAGAATGCCCTTCCAAGGGAAATAAGACAGCCCCCATCCCTCCCCTCCTTTCGTAAGAGCTTGAAGACCTGGTGGTTTCAACAAGCCTTTGAAAATGACCAGTTCTAACTCAGCCCCACACATTGTCAAATATGGCCTTATTCTTCCCACCAATTACCCAGATCATTTCCTCTAATCGGTCCTGGAATGAACAGCCACAGATCCGTACCTAATATTATTGTTGCCTGCCATAGCATTGCAGTCTCCTCGGGGAGATGGAGCGGTATATAAATAAAGGTTTATTATTATTATTATTATTATTATTATTATTATTATTTATTAATATTGTTTTATGCTATATTTCATCCTGTTCATTAGACCTTCAGTTATAGAGCAGGATAGCAGCATTTTACTAAACAATCAAATAAGTAAATAAAGTTACATTGTACTTGGAATGGAATGGATGCATTGAAATTGAGAACTGTTAGAATTGGTAGAATATTCACAAATCACATTTTTACTTTGAAACATTACCTTCTTTGTATCTCTTTTTTTTTCTTACAGTTAACACCAGTTGGAACTACCATCTTTACAGGATTCTCTGGGAATAATGGAGCCACAGACATTGATGACGGTCCCAATGGCCAGATAGAGTACGTCATCCAGTACAATCCCAGCGACCCAGTATGTGAAATTCTTTTCAGTAATATATTTATGTTTGAGACATATAAATAAGGGACAGGTCCCATTTTCTAAATCTTTTAATTACTATGCTGTTCACTTTCTTACATTTTGAGAAGCTTTTGTAACCTATCTCACAAAGTACTTTGAATGTAAGCTTGGTGCAAAGATAATGCATGCCACTGAGTACACAGGGATCACCAATGAAAAAGCTAGATCAGGAATAGTAGCCTAATTTGGAACTGCTCTTTCAGCTAAATAATAATAATAATAATAATAATAATAATAATAATAATAATAATAGTAATTGTAATTGTAATTGTAATTGTAATTATTATGTTTACTTACTTTACTTAGGCGATCCCTTGTTGGATGAGTAGGATAGTCTTCCATGATCAGTATTCTTGTGGATCTGTATGTGGCTGTGGAGCCCTATTCTTGACCTGCATCTTCTCCCACAGTGAGGGCATTGGTTCCCAGGTGGAAGGCAGTCTCGTCTTGGCTTGACGCACCTTCCTCCTGGCACGTTTCTCTCTTTCACCCTCCATTTGTGCCTCTTCAAATTATATAGCACTGCTGGTCACTGCTGACCTCCAGCTCAAGGGCCAGGGCTTCCCAGTTCTCAATGTCTATGCCAGAGATTTTAAGGTTGGCTTTGAGCCCATCTAACTGTTTTATAATTTGATAAGTTATATTTATTATTTGTATGTATAATGAGGCATTGCATTTTGCCATAATCTGTAAGCCGCTCTGAGTCCCCTTCGGGGTGAGAAGAGCAGGGTATAAATATAGTTAATAATAATAATAATCTTTCAATCTCTTTTCCTGTCCACCAACATTCCATTTTCCGTTCTTGAGTTCGGAGCAGAGCAACTGCTTTGGGAGATGGTGGTCGGGCATCTAGACAACGTGGCCAGTCCAGCGGAGTTGATGCAGAGGACCATTGCTTCAATGCTGGTGGTCTTTGCTTCTTCCAGCACGCTAACGTTTGTCCGCTTGTCTTCCCAAGAGATTTGCAGGATTTTCCGGAGACAGCACTGATGGAATCATTCCAGGAGTTGCATGTGACGTCTGTAGACAATCCAAGTTTTGCAGGCATATAGCAGGGTTGGGAGGACAATAGCTTTATAAACAAGCACCTTGATATCCCTACGGATGTCCTGGTCCTCAAACACTCTCTGCTTCATTCGGAAAAATGCTGCACTCACAGAGCTCAGGCGGTGTAGTATTTCAGTGTCAATGTTGACTTTTGAGGAGAAGTGACTACCAAGGTAGCAAATTAATCAACGTTTTCTAATGTTACACCATTAAGCTATCTCTGGCATTGGAGAGGGATTGGCTCGTGACTGCTGGAATAGCACTTTGGTTTTCTTGATGTTCAATGACAGGCCGAGCTTCTCGTATGCTTTTGCGAAGGTGTTTAGAGTTCAATGTATTGTCGAAGGCTTTCATGGCTGGAATCACTAGGTTCTTGTGGGTTTTTTCGGGCTACAGGGCCATGTTCTAGAGGCATTTCTCCTGACGTTTCGCCTGCATCTATGGCAAGCATCCTCAGAGGATGCTTGCCATAGATGCAGGCAAAACGTCAGGAGAAATGCCTCTAGAACATGGCCCTGTAGCCCGAAAAAAACCCACAAGAACCTAGTGTTTAGAGTTTATGTTTATGTATATCCTGCTTTACCTCTCCTGATGGAGACTCAAAGTGGCTTACAATTAAAGGTATGACCACATAATTTAAAATATACAAATATACAAACATTAAAACAGAATTAAACATAACAGTATTAGAAATTCACAGTTAAAATCCATTAAAAACCTATTAAAAGCTAAAAGCCACAGCACCCCCTGACTTGATCTTAAAAACCTTCTTCTTAAAAGCCTGTCTGAATAAGGCTTTAGCCTGCCACTAGAAGGACAGCAGGGAAGGGGCATACAGAATAGACTTCCTGTTCCATTCCCAGCTATGTGAGAATTGCCTAAGACAGCCAGCTTGTAGTCTAAGTGTAATGACTGTCATCTAAATTATCACTCCCTCCAGAGACTGATCCAGGGCATTAGCTTAAAAAATGCATTTTTTTTGCAAAGAAACCACCACATATGAAATGGACAAAAAGTGAAACATCTTTGGACAATTGAGTTTCTTTAGTGGGATGTCTCATTACGGATATGAATATTCTTTAAATACTATTTATATTAAAATGTAATTCTTCCTCTCTTTCTGTGAAAACTAAATTGTGTAGTAGTCTAGGTAGAGAGGACAAAAGTAACCAGAATTATTAAAATTATTCCCATTACTTTTGGAGATAGATTATTACAAATAGTTTGAACATGTGAATTAATATTATGATTATTGAAAATATGCCTTTGATTGCAGCTGATTGATCTCAGACTAATTAATATCAATATGTCCCATGATTCAATATTCTTCCTCAATCCATTATTCCGTGACCACCCCTTTTTTCTTTCTTTCTTTCTTTCTTTTTTTTTCAGACTTCAAATAGTACTTTTGACATTCCTCTTACATTGTCTGGTGCTGTAGTTTTGCGGGAGAGGCTAAATTATGAAGAAAAGACACGCTATTTTGTTGTTGTACAAGCAAATGTAAGTACAACTGATTTTGCATGATTTGGATACTACTCACGTTTCTAGCTCTTTTGGAAGAGGAAAGAAAATATGTATATCATGTGTAATAGAAATGTTACTTGTATTATTAACCATCTATGGTTTCTCAATAACCGTGCCTTCCATGAATATTCATTTTTTGATATCTGCATTAAGAGCCTCATAGCTAAATGCAACATCATAGATCAAATGCCATAGGCAGAGCATTCATTCCAGTTTAAAAGAAAATGCAAGCCTTCTTTTACTGAAATATCAAGGTTTTTTTTGTCGTGTGAGGAGCGACCTGAGAAACTGCAAGTCGCTTCTGGTGTGAGAGAATTGGCCGTCTGCAAGGACATTGCCCAGGGGACACCCAGATGATTTTGATGTTTTTATCATCCTTGTGGGAGGCTTCTCTCATGTCCCCACATGAGGAGCTGGAGCTGATAGAGGGAGCTCATCCGCCTCTCCCCGGATTCGAACCTGCGACCTGTCGGGCTTCAGTCCTGCCAGCACAGGGCTTTAACCCACTGTGCCACTGGGGGCTCCTTGAAATATCAAGTGACTTGCACATATGAGAATTACCTACGATAGGCCAAAATTTCCAAAAAGCAAACCTTGATTTTGACATTGTGGGTGGGATTGGGGATTGGGGCCGATGACGACTGTGAGTTGTGAAGCTGTGAGGCTATTTTCAGGCTTTGGGATCAGGCTTTTGGAGAATTGTTTTGTTTTGTTTTTTCATATTAGGAGCAACTTGAGAAACTGCAAGTTGCATCTCATGTGAGAGAATTGGATGCCTGCAAGGACGTTGCCCAGGGGACGCCCAGATGTTTTGATATTTTACTATCCTTGTGGGAGGCTTCTCTCATGTTCCCGCATGGGGAGCTGGAGTTGACAGTGGGAGCTCATCCGCGATCTCCCCGGATTTGAACCTCTGACCTGTCAGCCTTCAGTCCTGCCGGCACAAGGGTATAACCCATTGTGCATTGGGAGCTCTTAGATGCAGTGCAAAAACAGATTTGGAATATGTGCAATGACCACGGAATGGCTTTAGACTACTATTTCTGGATGATGTGATTTTAATATTGAATGTAATGTTTTTAAATGAGTAATATGTATTATTTTTAATTTTATTTATTTTAAGCATAATGTTTTGTATGTGTTTTAAGACATAGAATAATTGCCTATATGTAGCCACCTTGAGTCCAAGGTAGAGAAAGGCGAGGTATAAGTAGAGTAAATAAATATATAAATTTTAAGTGTATTTATTGTATTTTAATGGTGGGGCCCCAAGTGGTGCAGGGGGTTAAACTGCTGAGCTGCTGAACTTGCTGACCAAAAGGTTGGCAGTTCAAATCTGGGGAGTGGGATGAGCTCCCACTGTTAACCCCAGTTTCTGCCAACCTAGCAGTTCAAAAACATGCAAATGTGAGTAGATCAATAGGTACCGTTCCAGCGGGAAGGTAGCGGTGCTCCATGCAGTCATGCAAGCCACATGACCTAGGAGGCATCTACGGACAACGCCAGCTCTTTGGCTTAGAAATGGTGATGAGCACCACCCCCCAGAGTCAGACACGACTAAATGTCAAAGGGAAACCTTTACATTTATTTACTGTATTTTAATCCGATTTTATCACTCTGTTACTATTTACTTTTGTATTGCACTTGTAAAACTTGACTAAGCATGGGATTGTTAGCTGCCTTGAGTCCCCACTGAGAGATTAGGTGGGGTATAAATAACAACAACAACAACTTTATGTGATGGATTCTGTTTTACCATGTCACTGTATGTAATACTACCTGGGCATCCATAAGTATGGATGTATGCATGGGGGGATCCTAGAACATACCCTAGTGAATATATCAAGGGCCCATTGTATATGCATTTGTTTACTTGTAACATAGCATTATACATTTACTGGTTACAAAATAAACAGTAATAACTATATTATTTTAGTTCTAGAAAAAATATAAAAGATTTATTGTCATGTCAATGAATTTTAAGTTTTATGAGACAGCTGACAGTAACAATTTGTTGACTACAATTTGACTTACTTTGAAATCAAACCTTCTGAAGGAATGTTTTCCCCTTTCAACTCCAATTGTGAGTTTGTGTATGACATGTTACAAAATAGACATTTTAAGGTGACAAATAGAGCAGTGCTTATATTTAGGTTTAATTTTCCTGTTGGTTGGGAAGACCCTTGTTTTGTCTTTGAGAATAAATGAAAGCCTTCTCCAAGTAGGTTCTTTAAAAATACTTGATACATTTCATTTGTGTGAAGAGATTCTCATCTATTTCTGAATTTTGCAAGTTACTTACAGCATTATAATTTTAAAAGAAGGAAGAGTTAAGTACATCTATTCTTTTGTTATGTTTCACTGAAGCCTTTTTTCATGTAATTATTTTAGATACATTGTTTTGGATTCTTTCATACGATTCCTTGGAGTAAAGAGCCCTTGGGTCCACTTCTTGTAATACTTTGACATTGAAGAGTGATGTTGAGATTAACTTCACAATTCAGCAGCTGATCAGTTGCACAACTTCAGTGCTTTCCAGTAGCTTCTTCTTGCACAGTATTTTCAGTCAACTGCTCCCACAGCTTGCAGTCACTCTGGGACCTTTTACATACACTTGAGCACATGCCCGGCCATTGTCAGTTTTACCATTGTCTTTCCCCCAGTCTAGATGATATTACACACTTACCACAGCATACAGTTATATCTTGTCTTAGCAGACGGGTTCTTTTAATTACATATAGCCTTCGACGAACAACATCACAGCAGAAGGAGAGAAAATACATTGTACATGACTTCCTTATATACAATTCATCTACACATAGCAATCACTGATTGGTTCCCAACTCATTGGCTGAACTCAAACCCAGGATTGCATCATTCACAATCACCTGGACTAGGCCAGAACACAATCCCCAAATGAAGTTCTATATACAGTTAATGCATGACTCAGCATTTCCAATAGAAGCCTATTAGCAGTGCATGACTCAGCTATATTACATTACAATACATTGTAAAACCTGATCTGCAAGTGATGCTTGTTAAAATGTGGAAATTTTGAACAGACCCGTAGTTTATTTGCACTACATTAGATTTGTAGTGTGGTGAGATATTGAGAATTATCTCCTAAGGAGTTTTAGTACATTCCCATAATCTATAGTACTACTGTTCTCTAGAAGAGCATTCCAAGTACCTCAGGAATCATACAAGTCTATAAGGTATAGCCATAACGGTTAAAGCAGGGGTCCTCAAACTTTTCAAACAGAGGGCCAGGTCAAAGTCCTTCAAACTGTTGGAGGGCCAGATTATAATTTGAAAAAAACATGAATGAATTCCAATGCACACTGCACATATCTTAATTGTAGTGAGAGAAAAAAACACTTTAAAACAATGCAATAAATAAAATGAATAACAATTTTAACAAATATAAACTTCTTAGTATTTGAATGGGAAGTGTGGACCTGCTTTTGGCCTATGAGATAGGATTATTGTTGTTGTTGTTTTTGTGTGCTTTCAAGTTATATCAGACTTAGGTTGACCCTGAGCGAGGGCCGGGTAAATGACCTTGGAGGGCCGTATACGGCCCCTGGGCCTTAGTTTGAGGACCCCTGGGTTAAAGTGATCTAAAACTGCTACAGAAGTCTATAGTAAATATAGTCTATTGTCTTCCCCCTTTTGATATTGCACAGAATCAACTGGCATGTTTCCAAATTTCTGAATCAAATATTTGCTGGTATAAATTCAAAAATATTATTTTTGTTACCACCTTATTAATCTTTTTGATATAAGAACATTGCTACCATTTTCAGTGTGGATTTTGAAACTACCTGACTTCTTCATCTTTTTCTTTAAATAATAATTTCCCTCTAATAAAAACAGCAAAAAGAATGTATGATTTGTTCTGTCAGTAAAGAGAGTATCTCATGAAATATGGGTGTGCTGTGCTGATAGGTGATTCTATTATTAAAACAGCATGACTTATATTTTAAGATGAGGATTAAATCCCTTTGTTGTTGTTTGGAAAGCAATATCGGCTCCAAAAGTACAGGGGAAATTTTATCACTGAATCTGTCCTACCGTTTTATTTCCTTAGCTTTTGTTTAGGGAGGTGGGTTCCCTTTTGTTTTGAAAATTGTGTTCCTCATGACTATTATTAGACTTTGCCAATGTTAGATAACGTGTTTTAGTTCTTAGGGAAGTCAAAGAGCTGCTGAACCAACACAATAGATGGATTGTGCATCCAATGCTTTCTTGTCCACATGTCATGTTTCATTCTATATGGAATGCTAGCAAACATTTCACACAATTTCAAGAGAATAAGTGATACTATAATCAAGAGGACATTGGTGAGAAAACTATTAGGAGGAAAATCTGACTGAAATGAAAGCATGAACAAAGATGGAAAGAGGGGATATGAAATTAAAAGGGAAAAAAAGGAAAGAGCGGAGTAAGAAAGAAGGGAAAACACCTCTAATTGTAAGAGGTATTTTCACACACACCCCCCCAAAAAAATACTGTATATACTCGAGTATAAGCCTAGTTTTTCAGACCTTTTTTTAGGCTGAAAAAGTGCCCCTCAACTTATACTCGAGTCAAGTTTACTTATTATTTTACTCTATTATAAATACATAATAAATGTATTATTATTATTACATTTATTATTTTACTTTATTATTATTGTTATTATTGCATTTATTATTTTATTCTATTATTATTATTACCTTTATTATTTTACTCTATTTTTATTGGAAGGATACGCAAGCACATTTACATTGAAGAAGGTCAGAATGGTTTAATCAGAGCTGGGCAGTCTTATCTTGAATTACATTTTTTTTGTAAATATTCAAAAACATTTAACCTCTTGATGCCTCAATTAATGTAACTTTATTTCTATCTATTTTTATTTTGAAATTTATCAATAGCTGCTGCATTTCCTACCCTCGGCTTATACTTGAGTCAATCCATTTTCCCATTTTTTTTTGTGGTAAAATTGGGCGCCTCGGCTTATATTTGGGTCGGCTTATACTCGAGTATATACGGTAACCCCGAGCTTTCCTTCTGCTTTTTCCTTATTGGTTATTGCCAGCTAGTTTCCAGTTACCTAATGATCACCTCTTCCTTCTGCCTGTTTTTTCCAAAAGATGTTATGGCATTGGAATTATTATGTGATGATATTGATTTTAATGAAAAGATAGCATGTTCGTTTTTAATAATGGAATTGCAAGAACAATCTCTGAAAGTTTCATCCCCCTGCCTTACAGGACCGGGCTCAAAATCTTATGGAACGAAGAACAAGTACAACCACCCTCACCGTTGATGTCCTAGATGGAGATGATCTTGGACCTATGTTCCTTCCATGTATATTGGTCTTTAAGACTCGGGACTGTCGACCACTGACTTACCAAGCGAGTTTGCCAGAGCTCACAGACCCTGTAAGTACAAGCATGGATATTTCTTCTTTCTGTTTCTTTCTTTCTAATTACATTTGTTTTACATATACATTCACAGGCCCACACCTAGCAAGCCAAATGCTATACATTGTGACTTGTTGGTTGCTTGACATCCTTTTCACATGTTTTTGTCATCCCTACAGATGATAATGTTAAAAATGAGTTCTTGCATGGTAGGAAATTGGAATTGATTGGGGTTCCTTTCAACGCAGTCATTCTATGTTTTATCAGTTCCCAGTAGGCAAACCATGCACAGGGCTGAATACAGCCTATCTGCAAATTTAGCATTTATTTTTAGGTAACTTTTTGTTACAATATTTATAACTGTAATGCTATGTTTGATAGTGCTGCAATATAACTTATGTTATATAAAAGAATCCTGATTGCTACAGGATGAATATTTAGTCTCCACGGGAAGGAGAGGCTTTGAGAAGTTTTCAACAATTACAGCTATGTCTTTAAAAATTAAGAAATTGTATGTGCTTTCTATTCAGTTCCAAATATCACATATAGTTTTGTGTTCTAGGTTTGATGATCAGGTTTTAAACTTTTATATTCTTAAATCCATAACTCTTAGAAGAAAACAAAATACTGTAATTGGGGTGTATATTGGTATTTATTTCTATGTTGAGGAGATTAAGGAGATAGGCTGTTGAGAAGAGCACTGTCTGTAAAACAATGTGGTTCATTCATGCCTTCTGAAAACGAATAGCTAATAATGCAACTACGAGGGATTATTGTCTAGCGTTGTACTTTCAGGGTAAACCTTGACTCGTTTCATGTCCCGGCTTTTGGTGGGGGCCCCGATCTGTTTTTGGAAGGGCCAATATCACTCTGGAGTGTTGAAATATCTATTTTCTTTCAGGCCATTGGGAAGGGGCTTCCCAGCTACCCTTTGCAACATCTTAGGCATTTTAAAGCTGTTTCTACTCTAGAGGAGAGGCACTCAGCTGCAGGCAGGCACACGCTTTAAGGAGCTTCAGTTCTTACCTGCTGTTTCTACTCTAGAGGAAGTACTTGGCTGCAGGCACTGGCAGGCATACATGCTTTCTGAGCCTGTAGTGTATGTAGTGTACACCACACACACACTTTGTTTCCAAGGCAAAGAGGCAAGTTGTGTTTCTTACTCCAGAGGAGGTGCTTGGCTGCAGACGAACTGGCAGGTGTGTGAGCTTTCTGGGTCTGCATATCACACACACATGCTCTTTCCATCAATGGGAGCATAGTGTCTAGATCTAGGGAAGTAATGCTACCCCTCTATTCTGCTTTGGCTAGACCACACCTGGAATATTGTGTCCAATTCTGGGCACCACAATTCAAGAGAGATATTGACAAGCTGGAATGTGTCCAGAGGAGGGCGACTAAAATGATCAAGGGTCTGGAGAACAAGCCCTATGAGGAGCAGCTAAAGGAGCTGGGCATGTTTAGCCTGAAGAAGAGAAGGCTGAGAGGAGATATGATAGCCATGTATAAATATGTGAGAGGAAGCCACAGGGAGGAGAGAGCAAGCTTGTTTTCTGCTTCCCTGGAGACTAGGACATGAAACAATGGCTTCAAATTACAAGAGAGGAGATTCCATCTGAACATGAGGAAGAACTTCCTGACTGTGAGAACCGTTCAGCAGTGGAACTCTCTGTCCCGGAGTGTGGTGGAGGCTCCTTCTTTGGAAGCTTTTAAACAGAGGCTGGATGGCCATCTGTCAGGGGTGATTTGAATGCAATATTCCTGCTTCTTGGCAGGGGGTTGGACTGGATGGCCCATGAGGTATCTTCCAACTCTTTGATTCTATGATTCTATGATTCCAAGGAAAGGATGCAAGTTCTGTTGGAAAGAGTATGTGTATGGTTTGCAGAAAGGAGCAAGGAGCCCCCGGTGGCGCAGTGGGTAAAACCCCTGTGCCAGCAGGACTGAAGACCGACAGGTCGCAGGTTCGAGTCCGGGGAGAGGCGGATGAGCTTCCTCTATCAGCTCCAGCTCCTCATGCGGGGACATGAGAGAAGCCTCCCACAAGGATGATAAAAACATCAAATCATCCAGGCGTCCCTGGGCAACGTCCTTGCAGACGGCCAATTCTCTCACACCAGAAGCAACTTGCAGTTTCTCAAGTCGCTCCTGACACGACAAAAAAAAAAGGGTCAGAAAGTGTGTGTACCTGCCAGTGCATGCAGCAAAGTTCCTTCTTACTTTAGAGAAGGTGCTCGGGTGCAGGTACTGTCAGGCATGCACCCTTTCTGGGCCTGTATGCCACACACACACTCTCTTTCCAAGGCAAGGAGGCCAGATATATTGGAAAGAGAAAGCATGTGAGGCTTGCAGGCCCAGAAAGCATGCCTGCCTGCAAGTGCCTTCAGCCAAATGCCTTCTTACTCTAGAGGAGGTGCTCAGTTGCAAGCACTGGCAGGCTTGCACACTTTCTGGGCCTGCCAGACATGCACTCTCTTTCCAAAACAAGGAGGCCAGTTATGTTGGAAAGAGAGGGTATGTGTGGTGTGCAGGCCCAGAAAGCACACGTGCCCACTAGTGCCTACAGGCAAGCACTTTCTTACTCTAGAGGAGGTGCTCAGTTGCAGGCACTGGCAGGCACACACACTTTCTGTCACAGGCTGCACCACACCAGCCAGCCATGCAGTCTTTCCAAGACATTTTAAAGAGGTAAGGAGGAGTGATGACCTCCTGGAGGAGGAGAGTAGTTTTTAGGGAATGAGGGTTCACTTTTTGTTTGCTGGGGGATTAATAAAAAGAGTACACTGTGATGCTGAAAAGCAAGTGAGGAGCTGGTATCAGCTCCTGTTTGCTTTCATGTCAAGCTGACTTTTGTCCTGGGAGGGGCCTTCCTGTGACAAGCTCCAAAAGTACAAAAAAAGCCCCTGATGAAACAGGATAAAATAATTTCATACACAATCCTACTATTTTTACAAGGCAATGTGATTTGGGTTATATAATGTTTTGTTCAGATGTAGAATATAGAAACACCTTCACAAATTAGTCTTTTTCTATTTTCTAATTTGATCCCAAATTGTTATTGTACAAGGGCATCGAATGGGCTATATGATTTGTCCCTTTTCAAGAATACAGATGTTGGGAGAAATACTGTTAACAGAAATTGCTATTCATGGAGTCACCAGACTGGCTATATTAACAAGCTGGGTTTGGGTGGCATAGAGGACTAAAGGTGAAACAACTACTTGAGCAACTTGTAATGGGTTTTGTGGAGTCTGCCATTTCATCCAACAACAATATTTTGCCTCCTTGCCCTGCTATAACTCGGATGCTATAATGTGTATTTAAGGCAGTGCAGACATCAATATTAACGGCAGTGAACAGATGTGATGTACTGTGACAGCTCGGTAATAGAACAAAAATCAGCGTATTGCCTATCTTCAGCCAAGAAAAGGATAGTTTAAAATGAAAATTATAAGTATCTGAGCTAACATTCGATACAAGGCTGTTATCCATCAAATCAGTGTTCATAGGATCACTGTGTTTTAGTACTTCATAGGAGAAATGAGATCAGAGTTATGTAGCATAAAGGAAAGCAATTTTAAAACATAATTGTATAGTTCTAAAATCAAAACAACACTGCAGAATTCTGTCTCTGAAATTATTAAGCTTTTAGTCAACCAGTGAATAAACTCCACTTTCATGACCTATACTATTTTATTAGTTTATTTCAAGATTTGTTTATTATCTGTCGCCTTCCTTTGGCCCTTGAAGTGATGTACAACAGACAAAAGCTTTTCTATATGAAGCACGATTTAATAACATTTCTTCTTGTTTTCCTTGTAACCTCCCACCAATTCGTATTTGTGTGATTCATCTTCAAAGAAAATATTTTCATAGCAACTTCGATTGTAGAAGACAAAACAAAGTGACAGGTTTTCTGATTTTTATTCCTCGAATAATGCCATTTTATTTGGTGTCTTGTGGATTGTCTGTATTAGGCTTGGCTTACCAAGAAAAAAAATGGTTCTAAACTCGTTTCGTATATAGGGGGCACTGGTGGCTCGATTTTGAAATTATTTCCCAAATTTTCTTTAAAAAAAGATCGAAAATACCAGGAAATACGAATTGCTTCCTTTGTTTCGTTAATGGAAGGTGCTCCTCCCTCCCTCCAGAACCATTAAAATCTCGCAGTTTCCCTTCCTTCCCTTGCGGTGAGCTTCTCTCACCTTTCCTTCCCTTTCCGGCAAGCTGTCCGTCATGCAGAAGGGAGAGGTGGGTGTGGCCAAGCACAGCCCTCCTTGGAGGCCACGCCCTCAGCGACCTCCAAGGAGGGCTGTGCTTGGCCATGCCCACCTCTCCCTTCTGCATGACGGACAGCTTGCCAGGAAGGGAAGGAAAGGTGTATTCTTCATTGGATGGTGTAAGGTTTAGTGTTCTTTTTTAAAGTTATGAAATGATTGCTGTTAGAAGGAGTCTCAAATAACTTTTCAATCAGCTCATTTCATGTGGTCAGCTTGGAAATATTTTCTGTTAAGAGTATATAAATCTGCCTTTCCTTTGGTCTCTTAACTGAAGGTCATGAAGTATCCCCATACAAAAGAGTTTGTCCGCAATTCATTGTTTGGTTTGATATTTGACATAAAGCATAATCTTTTCAAATGATTTCAGTAAACATATTTCATCAAAGTTCTGTGTGAACAAAGCGACAACCTTTTCATTTTGTTGTTCTAATGTCCTTCATATGGCATTTTTGATAAATGTGGAGATAAACACTAAAATTTTCATTTTATAGCTAGAAAATGTGGTGCATGTCAGAAACAGAGCCATCAGTGAGAGAAACTACATCAGATTGGCTTTTGGTCTTATCCAGCCCAGCTGTCTTTATGTTCATTTTTATATTCTCAATTATTTTAATGGTTTTTATCTGAATTATTGGAGAAATGCTGTATTTTAAACTGGACACAAAGCTTTCATATTGCTGCTTTGATGATAGTAACCTGTTTGTTTATAATAGAGTATTGCACTTTTGTTTTATTTGC